TAATTCATTGCATAAATAATCAAAGATTCCAATTCTGGCTCTTAATGCTAAATTTAAATATTTTTTTGCAAATAATCCCTTAAATTTCTTTCTGATAAATAATTTAAAACAATTGCATAATTCACATTATCTGGGAATTTAGTTATACCATAGCATTGAACAATCAGTAATGCCTTAATTTTATAATAATTTGTTGACTATAATTGAATATAAATCAATTAGTATTATATAACACAGTATTGTTTATTTTTGTTTTAAATAAACAAATACCAACCTCATTAAAAAGCCTTTTCCTGATTACTTGAATCATTTAAATTTTTTAATACTACATCTTTCTCTCCAAGATAATTAAATTCCTTTTTATTTTCATCATAATCAACTATTCTCCCTCTTGTCCATTCTGCAATATAAATTGAACTAAATCCACCTTCTGTTAACTTTGTTACTTTTTCAAATTGCTCAAAAGGTATCCATTCTAAAATATAGTCTGGTAAAGATGATTTCATTTGACATTGTTGAATAAAATCATCAATTATGTTAATTTAATCACTGATTCTATCACATCTTGTCGCTCTGTTTATTCCTTCTGACTCTTTGTTTTGTCACAATTTCTTATCTTCTGATGAGCCATTGTTTTGTTATTATTGCTAATGTTTTACGAATATTGTCCTAAATGAAATTTTGTTTATGTGGTAATACTAAAAAAATTAGAACATGTGACTTTTTATTTGTGACTTTGGGAATTGGGACTATTTGGGTTTTGAATTTCGGCAAGTATAGTTGGATTTCGTCGAATTGAAGGGATTAGATAGAAACGTAGTAAAATATTAGATAATGACAATAATAATATAATAACGATAAATAAAAAGAAATTTATCTAATCTTAACATTAGATAATTAAAATGCGCATAAATGATCAATGAATTTTATTTATACGAATGTTTTTTTGTTTATTCTTGCATAAATATATCATTAACATCATGAAACAATTGATCCACTTCTTCTTTCTTGTCAGAATAACCTGCAGATTAATCGATTGATTAATAATAGAGAAATAAATAAATAAGTGAATGAATGAATTCAAATATTTCACCCCATTTTGATAACAAGTCTACTAAGCCTTTTATTTGAATCCACCAAGCTTTAGTGCTTTTACGTCTATCCATATCAGTTTCTGGCAGTAAATCAATAACAGGCTATGTATACAAATATATATATTTATGTTAAAAATATTAATTGTTAAATATCGTTTTTATCCTGTGAAACAAAAAATATAAAATAAAACAAAATTTTCACCCGATAAACGACATGTTCACCATCAATTCCAATCACAGCAGCAGATTCTTTAACATTGGTGTAAACCCTTGGTTTTGCAATGGAAGTTTGAGGTGGCAGTAAATGTGATGATGGTGATAATAACTTTTTTGATGTAGCAGTAACGGTAGAAGTTGAAGAAAATGCATGATTCTCCAAGAATTTAACACACATTACTGCAAGTTTAATTGCTCGAATACGATCTAAAGGTGATGGAGTAGCACCTTGCTGAATGTGACCTAAAATACTTGTTCTGGAATCAAATAGTCCATGAGCTTCAGTTTGAATAATATCAGCTATTACATTTGTTGTATAGGTAGTAGACACACATTCATTTCTATATTAAATAAATGGTAAATAATTAAAAATAATAATAATTGTATATTCCATAATTATGAAGCAAAGTATTTTACCTGAGAATTAAACGTCCTGAACCTGCACCTTTTTTATCTTCACTAAATCTTCTATTCAAATGATCAACATCCGATTGAAGAGTCTTTAAAGATAATCCTACTTCTGGAATGTATGTACTTGTTGCTCCAACCTATACATTTACAAATACACACATATATATATAACATTTATAAAAACATACATTTATTTATTTTGATCTGGAAAAAAGTTAAAATAATTATAATAATGCATTTACCGCAAGTCCGGCCAAAACTGTCAAATAACCACAATAACCACCATGTAATTCAACCACAAAAACTCTTCTTCTGGAAGCAGAGGCAGATTGTTTGATTGTATCACAACAGTCAACTATAGTATTTAAACTCGTATCACTGCCCAAGGAATAATCTGTGCCAGGAACATTGTTTGATATGGTAGCAGGCAAACAAATCATTGGAATACAAAATGCTGGATAAATATTCCGAGCATTATTCAATTTGATAAGCGAGCTGTAAGCTTCAAAACCTCCAATCAAGAGTAAAGCATCAATTCTGTGTTTTTGAAATTGGAATGCCACCATTCCAATATCTGTATCAGGTTCACTTCGATTGGTGCCAAGTTCTGAGCCACCTTTAGGAGTCCAACCATCAACATCTATCCAAGAAAATTCTCGGAGGTTGTCTTCTAAAAGACCCTTGAAACTATTAAATATTGCAACAGGAATATGACCTCGATTAAGTGCATATCGAACAGCTGCGGCTGTTGCTGCATTCATTCCACTAGCTGGCGCACCAACATGGATTATTCCAATACGAAGACGCTAAAAATACATGAGAAAAATTAGAAAATATTAATATAAATAAGAAATTTTATTGACAGTTAATTGAACCTTAGATTCTTCTAATTTAGATGCATAGCCATCAGTGAATATGACTGCTTTGTATACATCAAAAGCATCGATAAATTCTGAATCACGTAATTCCATAGCTTGTTTAAAATCCTTTTTTTCAACAGCCTTTGCAATTTGGTGTGTCTGAACAAAATAAATAAATAAATAAATAGATTTATAATAAATAAATAAATGATTCATATAAGCATCATCACATACTAATTTAACTGCTTTCATTAAAGGTTCACATGTAATCTTATTTTTTTTAATTCCAATCATAGGTGATTCACTATCAGGCGTTGCATTAAGAATTGCTTTTACTGCTTCATAACCTTGTAAAGTTGCCTTTTTTTTAAAAAAAAAGTTTTTTTTTAATAATGATAAATTCATATATTGATATAAATTACTTATTACTTACAAGATTTCTATCAAAGACACATGGTCTTCCACCACGTTGTATATGACCCAATGTTGTAACTCTGGTATCAAGACCCATATTATTTTTTAAAAGATCTTTGATGTAATCAGCTTTTATTGGTTGCAAGTTTTTATCAATAGCTCCCTCTCCAACAATCACGATAGTTCTAAATTTTCCAAGATTACGATGCTAGGAATATGCATTAACTTTAAATTAATAATAATTTAAATCCATTTTACAAAAAAAAAACTAATATAGTTTTTTAACAAAGTAGGCTTGGTAATACCAGTAACCTTTTCTGGGGATGCCTGTTTACTGCAATATCTTGCTATTTAATCACTAATAAAATAATTAGCTCATGGGAAAATATCTCAAACAACAGAGAAGTAAATATTCTAGCATTCTAATTAAATTAAGATTTCTGGGTCCTACCCAATCAACTGACAGACACTATTCCCTAAATGGTTAATCGGCTATTGATAGCTGATAAAATTTTTTTGATATAAATAATTTTTTCTGAGGGCATCACTTTCTAATACAAAAATGATCTTTGAGATTCAGCCGATTAATCTATAAATAAAAATCCAGTTGTTGTCCTTGTGGTTTTTGCAAAATCTTCTTTAAAAGTTGGTTGATTGACTGTTTTTACTTTGCTGATTGTTAAATTGACCAATAAGAATGATCAAACCTTTAATTTGTGTTACCATTAAAGAATACTCTGACCATTTAAGAGATAATAAAATGCTAAATTATCATGTCACATGTTGTCAGTAAAGTGTCTTGTTGGTAAAGTGGGTGTTGGTAAAGTGTATGGGTCTCCTTTAAATGTTACTAACATGATAAACTGGTAAATTTTTGAAAGATTATGGATTCATAATGTACATACAACAACATGAAAATTTGTATGTGTAACATCACCCTTGTGGTTTGACAGCTTTGATTTAATCACCAGTTCATGTTCTGTTTGAAGTTTCCCATATTTTTGAACAGAATTGTAATTGACTTGAAAGTAATTTATTAAGACTAGACTAGAAAATTTTTTAAAATT